GTGAAACTCCACTGATTTTACTTAAACAGTACACAAAAATGTGTTTGTTTAATACAGGCTTTAACACCAATGGAAAATACTCTTTGGAGTTATAAACTGTGGCTACTTTTTAATCCTAATATTTTGGTTTTAAACATAGAATTAAAATGGTCATGTAATCAAACAAAACCCATTATAGTAAAGGCACAACTTTGCATACTAAGAATATTTAAACTTCTTTTGTAAGTTGTGTTTGTGTTTTGTGGTTTGGTTTTTTTTTTTTTTTTTAAAGTCTATTAGGTCTTTGTCAATTCAAGCAAATTGGTTAGACTGCATTTTAGTACCTGTTCTCTTACTACGTGATTTGAAATCTCTGTCTTTGGCTTGAAGAAAAACATTTAAAGTTGCATCAGTAAAACAAGTATTGTCACGTTCCTTTGATATTCTGGACAGCTTCAGGAGTTATGTGGCACAAATCTAATTAAGGCTTTGCTACTTAAATTATGTTCTCCTTTTTACTTGAGCCTGTAAAATAAATGTGAAAAGCAAAATAAAACCCTACTGTGAAACAGTCAGACATCAGTAGAAGGACCTTTGAAATTAAGTGTTAGGAAATGCATACTCCTCAGTGTATGTGGCAGTACTGAATATAGGCACTAGATTAGTAAAACTCTTAAATCCCATTGGATTAAAATAACTGAGGAGATGGCTGTGATGTTATTACTATAATCATGATAGAGTAATTACTTCTTCCTTGTCTGTTAATGGCATAGCATGCCTAACATGTGAGAGGCTTCTCTTTTGTCACTGAAGTTTTAATTTAGGAACTCATCTTTTACACAGTGGACAAAGACCTATGGTGAAAACATACCAATATGAGGATTTCTTGTGGTCTCCAGAGAAATCTTCTGGGCCAGAAGACAATCTAAAGCAGGCTAATCGCTTTCATTTTATGCTGTGGGCCTAAAGTTTGCATGAACCTGTTGGTCAGTACTAATTTAGCAAGATACCCCATATAATTTGTGCTTCCTATTAATCTATGATCAAACCCCAAGTTTGCATGTAAAGTTGACACACACAGTTTCTCCTCTTTATTCAGTAAGAAGCTGCTTTTCCAGAGGTTGGGCAATTTTCAGACTTTCAGGAAAGGGATTAGTACAAAATAAATTGTGTGGATAAGACCTGGACAGATAGAGCAAATTTAACACCCAGATGTACTGCTCAGGAACAGGGTAAATCTGCATCACCTGCATGGTGGAGTCACTCCGTGTGTACGTATGTGATTTAGCTGCATGGGGACTATAGAGGATCCCTTATCTAAGCTGCAGTCAGGGCTTTCAAAATCCTTAGAAGAAATCCAAACTGCACGTTTATACTGAAGTCCACTGACCCAGGACTGAGCAGCACCTCCAGAAAAGCCTTGCTGCTGCTTCTTTACTTTTGTCTGGGGTGGATAGCTAGTCCTTTCCTGTCAGAGCAAGGACTGAAACAAGGAGTAAATCTGGAGATTAAATAATACTAGCAAGATAAGCATTATCTTAGAATAGATAGGAAACCTCGTGAATATTAAGAGTAACAATTCCTTTTATCGACAGTTACACTCTCCATCACAGAGCACCAGAGTATTATAAAAGTGAGAGCAGGATTAAAAGACAGAAAAACATTAAACTTGCTCAGTCTCAGGATATAGAAAGTGTTTTCTGTTTTTTATTTAAGGCCAGCACTTTCTGCTCAGCTCATTTTGGCCGAATGAAATGTATGGTTTGCATGTATTTTATACCTGCTTATGATCCTCAAAGATAAGACCGCCAATATTAGTATGTCGGAATAGCTCACTACCTTTGAATATTTGCATTTATATGTTACACTCAAATAAAATATTTTTGATCCCAGTTATCATTTATAAGATGTCTCCTTATGTACATGTGGTGGGGTAAAATGACCGTAGCCTGAGTATAAACATGGCATATGTTCACTGTGAACACCTTTAAGATAGCAATTTAGAATAAAGTAGTTATGAGGGAGAAATGGTGGATTATTAATCTATTATGATAGTTCTGAATCTGTTCTAATTCGGAAAGAAATAGAAACATTTCTAAAATAAGCACAGGAGATGTAAAGTACAGTTAAATATTACCATTTGCACTGCAATCAACCTGGAGCCTATTCATATTTCAAAAAGAGCAGGGTCTAGTTAAGCTCTGGCAAACTTGGTTCTATTTCCTTTCACTCTGATAGAGTTTGCCTATGTTTGTCAGTGCTGTTTGGCTTGTGTGCAGTTAAGCACGTGTCATCAGCTTTCATTCAGATGATTCAGCTAGTTCATACATTGCTTTTGATGTATTGCAGCTGTCTTGTGTTTAAGTTATGCAAATATTCTAGAATCTACAGCCGTGATAGCTAAAACAGAATACTTGCATAGAGTGCTGCAGAACTGCAAGAAGTGAATTTCCTCTTCATATTTATCAATGAGTAGTCTCTGTATCTGAGTGGTTCTGCCTTCGGTCAAGAGCTCTGCGATAACTTTCCAGGCATAATTTGGAGTCTCTGGATTCAGCTGAAATATCTGCCTTGATAGTTTAGAGATTTCAAATAGCTGATGGATGAATGAATGGAAATTGTTATCTGTTACAGAAAAAAAACCCCTATGAATAGGAAAAGATAACTTCAATAAATTCATGCCTTGAATGGTTTGACTAGTCTTACCTATATGTCTCGTTATTTTCAGTGACTTATCCTTTTATAGTTTAATGAACAATTAGTATTGTAATGAGTCTTTCCTTTTGGAAGGAATGAAGTACATATTCACAGCTTAGTATTTAAAATAGCGAGGGTTTCATAATGCCATACATTTTCCCATTTGAATTGTTCAAGGTCTATCCTAACCTATTTAGGAGAATCTCTTAGAAAAAAAGAAAGCTCTTTTGCATAAACTCACACATCAGGTCTGTAATTGTTTTGAGATTTTTTTTTTTTTTACTTGTCAAAATAGTTATGTATTTCAGTGTTTTCTGTGTTCACATCTCTGATACAGGAGAAAAGAAGAAAAAGGGTGCTTTTGAATTATGCACATAGTGCTTGTCTGTATGTGTGTGGTGCTCTTCAAGAGGCTCGCACGGCAAAGTATAGTTGCTAAATTCTTTTTCACATTTCTTTTTCAAATGTAAAGCTTGTCAGAATATGTTAATCTAGATCTATATCCATTCCAGTTCTAACTGTTTTCTAGATTAATCACTAACAGGAATAGCAGAAAAGTGATTGTATACACTATGTTTGGCTTATTTCTTGATCCCACAGCATTTTCTGATGGAAACAGGGATTTAAAGAGAGAGAGAGAGAAAAAAAAATCAATGCTTCTTAATGTTCTTTTGCCAAACAAATATAAAGGTCTCCACAGGCAAGGATTAACTAATACAAATATGCTTTCTGAGCAGCTATTGAAGAATTACTAATAAACATCATTATAGCTGAGTTCAAGATATTCAACCTTATAAATACATCCTGTTACAATTTCATTATGGTTAGCTGAAGGCCTAGAAGAAGCCAATGTTGCAACCTCTTTGTTCCAGTCTTAACGAATTATTGGAAAGTGACTGATTAGAAAGCATTGAATCAGAAGGGGCTGCTGCATTCTGAGTGTTACTCTCTTTGATGTTGTTTACCTCCCACATTGACTCATTTCCTTGGCCAAAAATCTTGGTATGCGAAGCTGTGAGCCTACGTTGCAGGGCCATTATATCCCAGTGCATGTCTGGAAGTCAAACGTGGTAGGTAGCTATTTAGTGAACGTTGTAAGTGTTCATTCAATCTCACACCTTAGAATAGGATTCTGCCCAGAAGTGGGGCACAACTCTATTGTTGTGTAGGGGATACAATGAAAGAAGTGGGATGCCCAAGTAGAAGTTTAGTTTCTCCTTAGACTAGACATACTTTCCATACTTAGTCCCCTGCTTTTTTTCTATTTGGTGGATCTGCTTGCTTCATGCTTCCAGTTGCTTCTGAACTCAATGCCTCTTCAGCTTTGCAAGGCAGAGTCTACACTGTGATGTGGAAATATCTGTTCAAGACACTCAGGCCACTGCATGCTGCTGGCTAAGAGCTTGGGCCTACTCTCTATCAGCATATCCTTGAGCTTTCTCTTTGGAGAGCTCCAGGTTTTAGGTAGCAAAACACAAGCACAGGCATAAGTGATTAGGATGTGAGTGCATCTCATTTTGAGACTGGAGTCAGATCTTTGATTACTTCCTTGACAACGTAAACATATTCAAAGAGGTGGATGAAGTTTGAGTAACTGGTGCTGTCTTCATAGTGGCTTAGCGTTGTACCACTGCATCCCACAGCACACTTACGGGGCAGTCCCTCTCTGAGGATTCACAGTTCCTAGCAGATGAGTTCCACGCTGGGACGTTGCCTAAAGTAAATTCAAATAAGAGCAGTGATAAACTACATCCTGATTTTTTCATCTCCATTAAACTAGTCTCATTTAAAGATCTTTTCATTGGGTACATCACCTAAAATATAATGTAAAAGGAGCAGCCTTTAACCACAAGGTTCCCAGCTCAGGCAATGGTTGGCAAACACTCTAATCAAACCGTGTGTTTTTTTTCTGTTAAACCTGTCTTCGGGGTACCCCTTAACACAGCCTCTGCTCTCTTGAGGTGGAGAGCAGGGTTTAAAAAGTTGACTTGCTTGAATTGAGGGTCTTTTCTTTAAGGATAATATCACGATATGATTAAGTTCTTAAGCATGGCCTGTACAGATAGGAGTGACTTCTGGTTTAAGGGTTCAGAGCTTTTGAGATGTCTCATTGGTAACGTGCCTTGGACAGATCCTCAGTTGTATGTCCTCTGAGATACTGCAGAAGGAGAATCATAGCAGATTATGTTTTCGGTTTAGTGACAACAGCCTCTGGATTATTTAAAATTAACTGGATAGCTTTAATTTGAAGAGGCAAGTATGCAGGCTAAGAATATTTGAAGCATGGCAATGAGGGCTGTAGCCAGGCTCTTTCACATAAGGAGATGGCGAAGGTTCAGAGGGTGGAAAGGAGGAGGAAGTATCATGAAAGCTGGTTTTGCCAGACAGGTAAAGACTTATTCATGCTGGGAGAATCTCCAGCTGGGAAAATCCACGGTCATTACAGCCTTTGTGCCACCAGAATAGAAAAAAGGGTTGGCTCAGAGAAGAGAATCTGGCTCAAAGAACTTAAAATAAATATCAGATGTCAGAGCTGTGACTTAATTGTTTAGCTAAGTAGATCATGTGAATTACACACAGATTGAGGACCTGGTTTTGCTTCTATTGAAATCAAGGAGAACAGATTCAGGCCATACTCTTTTTTCCAGTGGCTTTCAGCCCTCAAAACTGTGTTATCTGAGAGTACGACGGCTTCTGGGATAATTTCTTGCAGCAGTTGGGAATCCAGAGAGCTGCTTGTACGCAACTGCTTTGTGTTTTATTACTGTAGACATAAGCTAAGACTCTAAACAGAATGCATTTCCTTAGTTGCTGTTTGGTTTTATTTCAAAATTTGACATTCAAACAATGGCTTCTGTGACTCTTAACCACGGAAATTGGAACTCCAGGTTCAGACATTAGTTTCTGACAGTAGCCAATTTCAAAGAAATACATCGAGATGTACATGTATTTTCCTCCTTTTAACGCAGTCTCTGTCAGATTACAGCTCTGACAATCTCAGAATTAGATCTATGCCCCAACTCAAAGACATTAGCTTATAAATATCCCCTTGAGAAATTGTAGTTCTGAAAACCTTGTAACTTTATAGTGAAAGTTTATTCTTCTCTTCCTTAATGAACATGAGATATTTATTACCTTTATGAATAAAAGGAAATATTTTTTTCTTATCCTTACACTATTGCATATTTCCTTTAGCATTTTAAAATTCTTTATTAAATGATAAACCCCTGTGTTTAACCATGAAGGTTTTGCAGGAGTGAGGAAACTGTCAGAGGAAAGGCAGTGGCAGCTGAAAACTTGAAAGGATTGTTTAGTTATAACCAAAATTAAATTACCTGGAGTTGACTGACAGTCTTACATTCAGGAAGAAGGGAAAGATTTTGGGAGAAGGCTTCACATGTGCAATTGAAAGTATGTTTCCGTTACCTGGCTGAGAGCCTTCACGTAGTTCTACTGACAGGGTGAAATACTGGTAGACAGGTGACAGAAAAATGTTCGGAAAGATCTACAGCCAATTTGCAGACTGACATGTATTTCTACAAATTCTGTCTGGATGATGAATGACTGTTGCTACAGCATGTAACTGATGACATTATAAATGAGGGGAGCATAGAGAAATTACTTAGTATCATATTTCTGGACATACTTGGAAGATACTGTGGGAAATATTCTGATTTAGATAGGGCAGTTTTTAGGTGCTGGCTTCTGCATTCATACCCCAGAGGGTATCAGAGGGTGGCAAGCATCTCTGTTCCCTGGCCAGCCAGGGTTCATCCTCTCCAAGCTCATGATGATGATAATACCATTACTGCAGTCTTTTAACCAGCAACAGGGTGTGATTTCTTTTTCTGAGAAAAGAAAGTACAGTGTCTGAGTGCTTAGCGAGCAATTACTTTCTCTTCACAAATGGTGAGTTAAGCAAAGAAGAATCAAAGTTTGAGGGGGGGAGGAGGAACATAATATTCCCAGTGTTGAAAAACACAAATAATTCACAGCAGGCAAAACTATCCTCCCCATCCCCTGTCAGCCTTTCCTGACACTTCAGAGGTGATTAAATGCTGCTTCTGTAGCTCAAGTGAGTTAGCTCCCTCCAACCTCAGGTTATGTCCTTCCCACAGTTCAGTGCCCAGGCTTGGAGGAACCGACTCTAGGGATAATCTGTTGCCCTTAAGAGGGTGTTGAACTGGAGGCTGGCAACCTCTTTCAGGCTGTAAATAGTCATTGCTCTGCTGAGGGAGGAAGGCCTCCCTGGAATGACTGTTCATGCCATTAGTTGTCTTCATAGCAACGATCGCTGCTAACTATTCCTGTCGCTCTCTGTTCCCACTTGCAGCTCAGCAGAGACCAGCCAAGGTGAGGAGGCCAAGTGCGGCGCAAGAGAGGGGAGAAGGCAAAGTGCAATGGCTGGGCAAGAGTGGGGCATGGGCAGGGAAGAGTGGGGGTAGCGGCTGTGGACAGGTCTTTATCACCTTCCCATGAATGCAAAGTCAACCTTTGCTGCTGCTAAGACTACTGGAGGGGCTTAGTTAAAAATAGTTTTCCTTCATAGCTTCTGAAGAATTGATGTAGGTATGGATGAAGATAGGAATGATAAGCAGGTGTCCTTCTCGTGTGCCTTGTATCCTGTGTAGGTGCTCCAAGTGATATAAGATGAACACCAAATGTGTCCATGCCTATTTCTCCTGCTTTTGTTCTCTTACTTCTGGATGTGTTTTCCAGCCTCCTCCCTTGTAGTGTCACAGGTGCTTTCACTTTGTAGGATACAGTAATGGAGATCACAGGGAGCGGGAAACTGAGACAACATGAGCAGTTGTGGTGTCTCAAAGATGGTCCTGTAAGTTCAAGTCAGAAAGTTGGGTTATAAAGGAAAGAAATTCCATATCCTTCCCAAGTAGCAACATAATAAAATGAAAAAGAGCAAACTCAAGTAAAATTAGTATGTATTTGCTTTATTTGCTCTTACTGTTTTGATTTTGTGAAAGTTTCTGTTGAAGGGCTGATTTCACTTGAAAGCATAAAAAAACCTTAGAGACAAAAGTTTGATCTCAGACGACTTTGCGTCACTTCACGTCCCTTCACTTGCATGAAAGAAGACAGGTCTCCCACAGACTATGCTTGGGAGAGATGGTGTTGGCAAGAGTGCCCTGATACTAGCTCTGATGGCACAGGAGTTTTGACCTGGACACTCCATTTTCGTTATGTCCTATGAGATCCAGTAGAGAGGTACAAGGATTATGGGACTAAAGGGCTCACTTTCTTAAAAAAAGAGGACAAACTTCACTTTCATTCACTTTCCACCACAAACGAATGGAGGGAAAACTGCAGCAGTGAAGAAAATTCAGAATACAAATGAGCACAAATTTAGAATACAAATTCGGAATATGAATGAGCACATAACGCCTTCTGAGGCAGCATCACAGTTGTGGTTCTGGTGTTTTGGAAAGAAAAAAAAGCAGACTTTTAAAAGTTATCTGCCTCATGATGTATGCCAAAGTTTAATTACTTTTAATGAAAACAGCAGTGTTTTATGATCTGAAACATCCAAAAAGGAGCTAGGTGATGGACGTTCTTTTCATAAAGACTAGCTGAATCAGTAGGCTGTTACTTATGGATTTACCCTGTGCTGGAAATGTGGCAAGGAGCTTGAGACATTTAATTTTGAATCCCATGTAGTCCTTTGTTAACGTAGTAATAAATAAATTGAATTAATTCAGAAAATAACTCCATTTAATGATTTGCAGTAAGCAAAGAATGAGGGAGTTAACAATATAACACTATAGCAAACAAATGTATTTCTTCTCAGGGTAAAAAAGAATGTTTCACATGGCTCATTGTCATATGTTTACAAGCTTGCATAGTCTTAAAGACTTAGCATTCAATCAGAAGGACTCCATGAGGGCAGGAGTAGTAGGGATTCCAGGAGAAATTCCTCCCTCTTAGGTGCTCATAGGCCATGACCCAATGGGAATAATAGCACACAGAACATAATCGAGATAGTTATTTGTTGAATTAAAACTAGTATTTCACACTTAGAATCATATGGCTGGAACCTATTGGATTTATTAAATCCAGCCATCTGCTATTTCAGGCAACACATCCTAGAATCTTGTTCATAACCTTTTCGGAGAACTGGAATGTACCTAGCTAATGTAAGACTTGTCTTGCCTGTTTATCAGTTAGCAGAGAAAAATAAATATCCATTTCTTCTTGAAGAAAGGTCCTAGTCACATTAGCCTTGCTTTTTTGTCTTGCTATTTATATTATGTTATAGTATGTACAGAATCTTCCATACTATTTATAACAGAGCGTTGCTAAGGCTTACTGCCCCATCGCTCAAATAAAGGCTATACATCCAACTGAAGTCAAGTGTCTAAAGTTAGGCATCTGTTTTCTTGGTACGCACCTGAAGGTCTTTGTAATAACAACACAGCTGAAAAATATGTGAGTTGAAAAACCCTCCCATAATTCCCGTGCAATTACATCAATGGGGTGTTGATGGGCGAGGGGGACTATGCTGCTGTCAGTCAGAGTGGAGTTTGACCCTGGTCAGTATAGAAAGGCAGCACTTCAAACTATTTCAAGACTATTTTTAGAAATCTTAAAAAAAAATTAATACTCCATTCCAAGCAAAGGGTGAAGAACTAGAGATTTGAAATACTTCGAATCTACTCCAAACTGTAGTGCACAGTCAGTCCATCAAACAAATGTTATGAGCATGTATAAACATATCGTTCTACAGACAAAAACAAGGCACGCTGAATTAGGAAAGCAGTATGCCTTTGCTCTTTGTATGTTTTTTAATGTGTTCATTTTCTCACTTTACTACAGTTTGTAGAATATGTCCTTATCTGGTTTTATTGTCAATTTTAGGAATCGCTTCATACAATACTTTGTGCATTTTTAAAAATGTTCAGTATTTGCAATACTGCAATTTTGGTAGAACCAAATTGATTGCAGTTACTGTCCTGTGAATACCCTGTGAATGTTAATCCCCCTGGGTTTAAGGGAGCAAGTGCTGTGGATAAGGCTTACAAGGGTAAGAGAGATAGGACATAGGTGAGTAGAGACTCTGGGATAAGAATAATTGGTTGGCAATACATATGATGAATTGGTGGAGGGAAGAGAGTAAAAAAATAGAAATTGTGACTAAATGCCAGGCTGAGATTTAGAAGCTTCCTTTTATGCCCATCTTTAGCACATTTAAGAATTACACTGATTTTTTTTAATGTAATGCTCTTCCCAGTGGTGACTGACCTAGTAAACTTTATCAACCATAATGAAAGCAGACCCTGTTAGGCTTTCTCTTTGGGGTCATAACATTGTACTTCTAAACTGACTGATGTCACAGCCCACTTTATTACTCAAGTTCCTGATGAATGTTACAGAAT